GACCTTCAGGATCATCCAGCCCTAACATCCCTGTGCTGCAGAGATACCTCTCATTAAATCAACTTCCTCAAGACCTTCTCCAGCCTGCCTTTGAACAGTGCCAGTGTTGGGACACCCACAGCTCCCTGGGCAACTTGTTCCAGTGTCTCACCACCCTCCCAATAAAGAATTTCTTCCCAATATTTAACACAAATCTCCCTTCTTTCACTTTGTACCCACTACACCTTGTCCTGTCACAGCAGTTGCTGAAGCAGAGGTCCCTCTCCAACTTTCCTGTAGGACCCTTCAGATACTGTAGAGGTGCTAGGAGGTCTGCACACAGCCTTGTCTTCTCCAGGCTGAACAAACCCAGCTGTCAGCCTGCCTGGGGGCGGTGCTCCATTCCTCTCATCAATGTCATGGCCTCCTCTGCACTTGCTCCTACACTTCCATGTCCTTCTTACCTTGGGGGCACCAGAGCAGTTCTCAGTACTCCAGGTGGGGTCTCACCAGAGCAGAGCAGAGGGGCAGAATCCCCTCCCTCCCCTGCTGCCCACGCTGCTTTGGATGCAGCTCAGGATCCCATTGGCTTTCTGGGCTGTGAGGACACATTTCTGGGTCATGTTGTGTTTTTCATCAAGCATCACCCCCAAGTCCTTCTCAGGGCTGCTGTCAAGTGCTTCTCCATTCAACCTATAGCTGTGTCTGGGATTGCCACAACCCAGGTACAGGACCTTGCACTTGTTGAACTTCATGGGGTTTGCACAGCTCCACCTCTCCAGCCTGTCCAGGCCCCTCAGGATGGCATCCCTTCCCTCCAGCATGTTGGCTGCCCCACACAGCTTGGTGTTGGTGGCAAACTTGCTGAGGGTGCCCTTGATCCCACTGTCCATGTCACTGACAGAGGGGTTGAACAGTGTCAGCCCCAGCGCTGACCCCGGAGGGACACTGCCTGTCACTGGTCTGCATGGACAATGAGCTGTTGATCACAATTCTGCATTTTTGTCTTCTTTTCTGCTTTGTTATCAGAGTGGATTATTGCTCAATTTTTGCAAGTAGCAGAGCAGTCAGATTTGATTCTGGGTTGTCAAGCTGTGCTGTGATCTGAGGAATTGGTGGTGACTCATTAGTCAGATGTTCTAAACATTACAGATGGATAGATGTTCCTCAAAACTTAGTTACAGCAGAATTGTAGTGTGTGTCTTTCATAAGGAGTGACTTGCTATTCATCCTGATTATACAGGAGAGGTCTGCCTGTCACTTTCCATACAGTCTTCAAAAACTGGCTTCAGGCAAGAAAGCTGTCCTTGTAATACCTTTAAGATTGGGAAGAATTCCTACATGGGGGTGGGAAAGGTATCATGTATCTCTTGACAGCCATCCCATAGGAACCAAATTAGTTCTCTGCCACCATATTCTGACCAGACAATAGATGATTATCAGGTTCAAGCAAAAAAAAGGCCAAGAAAAGGAAAGAAGCAATGAAAAAAAGTTCTCTCAAAGGGTATGAGAGAGAAGACCCCTCGTGTTTGTTCTGTATTCTGGAAAACACTACATCCACCTGTTCTTCTGCTAAAACTACATTTGTGTGACTCCTGAGTACTCTGCTGTTTCTTGAGAGTGAGTTGGCTGGTTTTCTGCTAAATCTACTGAATGTTTTTTTCTAATCCTATAGTTTTGTGGGAGAAGTAGAGGAAGAGGTACAGAGAAAGAAAGATCTTCCTCTTACAGTTTTATTATCATAAATGATGATGCAAAGCACACTCAGTCTAGACTGAGTTGATCTAAAGTCTTGGATCTAGTACTCTCTGGGCTTTCATGGAAATTTCCTTATACAGGATCTGGAGATGCTGGTAGGACAGAGCCCCTTTACTGTGCACCAAGACATGCAACCCATTTGCCTGAAAGGTGGAACACCACATGCCCTTCCTGTGGTGTTCAATACCATCTCTTTGTTTGAAGAACCGATTGAAAGTTGAGTTGTTCCTGTCCCACCTGCCAGGGAGGAGAGGAGCACTTCTTGGGCTTAGTTGAAGTCAGGCTTGAACCAGCTTGGCCAGCTGGGAAAAGACAGTAAGCATTTCTCTCAGATCAACAAGAGGTGGCTGAAGACGATATTTTCCAATCTCCATGTCAATTGTTCCCTCCTTTTCTGCCAGAACTGCAACCCTCACAGCTCTGCCAGCAGCAGAGGTCTTGTATGAGCTTCCCCATCTCGGATTGTGCCAGGTGAGGCATCTCCACTCACAACCCAGTAGCAGTCCAAACTAAGCAGAACAAATGCCTGTAGGACATTGTCATGCCATCCCACCACAAGCATACACAAGCTCTTTTTCACTGGCAAAGAGGTCCTGTCTTGTGTCAGCTTGTCCTACCCCTTCCATCAGGGACAGCTGATGATGGCCAGGATGCAGGATCAAAAATCCCTTGACAGTTTCTCAATCAGGCAAGCCTCTTCTCCTGCATGGATGGAAGATTTACATTCCAGCCCTGAGCATCTCTCTTAGAAAACCTCTCCTGCCAGTCTCACAGGGATATTAATTTTCCTACCCCCACAACCACCACCTTCATAACCAAGAACGGAGGTCTGTATGTATTACCTGCTTCAGTGAGGCACTTACAAAACAGGTCCCCTCTGGTCTCCCACCACACTTGAGAGCTGCATCAAGCCAAAGGTGAAAACACTTAACTGAATTGTCGGCAAATATGATCAGATTTAAATTCTCTACAACCCTCAACAGACCTTTCCTGTGTTGCAATGACATACATCTTTCACCAGGCCTGGTGTTCTGACCTGGCTTTGAATCAGGGTGAGTGTTAATAGATTTCTTGGGTGAAATAGCATGAAACAGCACTAAATGACTCATATGCATACATGAGGCAGGTTTATCTTAAAACAATTTGCAGTAGAAAGGAGGTATGTATCTGTACTGGTTCTATTAAAAAAAAACGTTAAAATTATCACAAGGAAAATACATAAGGAAATTAAGAAACAGAAGGAAAGGACAAGAGTGGATAGTGGAGAGGAAATATCCAGTGACAAGGCTTGATTGTTTCAATTTTAGTTGCATGGTCGTCACTATGATGGTTGCAGTCTTGATCTTCTTGATCTGGATCTCCCCGCCTCGTTGGGGGTGGAGGCCCATGCAACAGAGAGGAGTTCCATGGGTTATTATCTGTACAAGCCTATGTGGGAACACCCTGATACCTCCCCTGGAGAGGGGTTTTACAGTACCTGATGCAACACTGTGGAAATTAGTCTGGTTCTTCAGGCATCTTTGATGGGTTAGGTTGCATTCTAATGGCACAACTTGCTGTTTGGCCCTGCTTCTGGTAGCTGCATAGTTTTGCAAGCTGTACCTTATCAGAAAGGAGAAATACCCTCAGGCCTATGTGTGAACACCTGCATGCCTCCCCTGGAGGGAGAATTTTGCACTGTTAGATGCAGTTGTGGCCCACCAGAAGGAAGTAGGTTGGCGTGATAAAAAGCATTACCCTACCTCTGCAGGTCCTGCTTCTGGTGTGCCTTTTCCACTATATGTTCTTAAAACACTTTGTTTGAGACAACAGTCTCAGGTTCTCATGGAAACTGTCTCAACCAGCCCACCCAAGCAAATCTTGGTCCATCACACCTGGGAAAGCAGTGGACAAATCTGTTTCTTGGCCCTTTCCTTCCCCCATGTCTAACATATCCAGTCAGCCGGCTCCCAGCTGCAAAGGCAGACCACTGCAGGAGGAACTACGCCAAATTCCACCTGCATCTAACTGGCCAATACATCCATTGAGAAACACTCACGGCTCCCATGGAAAAGGTCCACCCCTGAGAAACCGCCTCTTCCACTGGCACCCCGCTCAGAGCGTCCATGGACACCTTGTGCATGCATAGTCCCCTTTGGAAAACCTGGGAGCCTGGAAACCTGATGCTGTGAGGATGTGCTGTGCTCCCAAGTGCGTGTGTGCAGACAGGGCACAGCCACCCACAACTCACAGGGTGTGATGGGCAGGCACCCCATGCTCCTTGTGTGAGCAGCCCTGCTGGAGCACCCTGCAGTGCTCTGAGTGCTTCACACTTGTTACAGAGAGCAGGAAGGTTAGCCTCCAGATTTTATTTCCCAGATAACATTTGAGAACATAAGGAGCTTTTCTCAGCATTTAAGTGTACAATATCTTGTGGTGATCATCAGAAGCTCACTGCTTACCACTGTGCCATACAATAACCTTGTGACATTTTTTTCTGCTTAAAAAAAAAACACAGAACAAAACTTATTTGGCTTCTTTTGTTGTATGATAAAAGCTTCCCATATAGTCCTCTACTCTTATGAGACACCACTTGGAGCACTGAGAACTGTTCTGGTGCCCCCAAGGTAAGAAGGACATGGAAGTGTAGGAGCAAGTGCAGAGGAGGCCATGACATTGATGAGAGGAATGGAGCACCGCCCCCAGGCAGGCTGACAGCTGGGTTTGTTCAGCCTGGAGAAGACAAGGCTGTGTGCAGACCTCCTAGCACCTCTGCAGTATCTGAAGGGTCCTACAGGAAAGTTGGAGAGGGACCTCTGCTTCAGCAACTGCTGTGACAGGACAAGGTGTAGTGGGTACAAAGTGAAAGAAGGGAGATTTGTGTTAAATATTGGGAAGAAATTCTTTATTGGGAGGGTGGTGAGACACTGGAACAAGTTGCCCAGGGAGCTGTGGGTGCCCCAACACTGGCACTGTTCAAAGGCAGGCTGGAGAAGGTCTTGAGGAAATTGATCTAGTGAGACATATCTCTGCCCATGGCAGGGGGATGTTAGGACTGGATGATCCTGAAGGTCCCTTCCAACCCTTAACATTCCGAGATTCATATTGATATATGAATCATATATACCACATGGAGTCTCTATCCGCTGTGTATTAACTTTCATGCAAGTGGACAAGTTCCTGTATTTTCCTGAGAGACAAATTGCCTCTCACAGAATTGCTGCATAGTGATTGAGAATTACATCTTGCTTACTACGCTGAGACAGGTAAATGATCACCAGGTACCATCACAGCTCTAGTTTTCTTTTTACTTGCAGTATTTTTAATGCAAAACAATACACTGAAGGGTAAAACCCTGAAGGTAGCAGGAGTAATAGAAGAAGAAAATCCCCAGCAAAACAGATCTCCAAACAATTTTTAGAAAGAAAGAGGGGGAGGGGAGGAAAGCAGGACATTAGGGTGTCTCTACTACTACAAAATTGAGTAATTGAGTGTTCTATTTTTGCATGAATAAACATGAAAAGTAACTTTCATCTGAAATAAGAGCCACAAGTCTGGAGTATAATCTAAAAACCAGACATCTCAGAACACACAGAGGAAAGGAAGGACAGTTGGTTCTCATCAATTGTCTTAACTGGCATTATGAGGCAAAACAGAACAATTTTATGAGATGTCACTACTCAGGTTACTTGGTTAATTGTAAGAGGAAATGTAATGGGTAATGATAACACTGTCATGTCAAAATGACACATGAAGGAATGAATCTTCAATTACCACACAGAGTGCATCCTGCTCCCAGAGAAGGCAGCTACTGTGTGTTGCATTAATGACTCCATGCTTTGGAATAGCAACCTACCCAGATTCTTGAAGTGAATGCAGATCTATTATTTGTCAGAGTGTTTCTTGGATTTACGTGGAATCATAACATTTTAGAGCAGTTCAGAAGTTTACTATGGTCAGTTTTCATGCTTTATCCTAACCCTCAGGTTTCCTTCTGATATCCTGGCAGATACAGACTTAGATATGGTAACTTTATCTCTTCTCCATTTTTCTCACTGTGCAGGCTATGATTGCATTCTCTGTCAGTCTCATGAGGTTGCATGGAGCAGGACTATCCCCATCAGCTTTGGGATAAGAAGCGTTTCAGTGCAGGAAAAATGCTTTTCCATAATCTTGCAACCTGATTTATTGGGCCAAATGTTGTTCTGACTTGTCATATGCCATCTGACATCAGGTGCATTAAATGGAGGAACAGGAGACAGGCCAGAACTAGCTCCCTACCATCAGGAAGAGATACAATTAAGGCAAACAAGATCTAGTCCTTCCCTGGCTGATGACAAGCCTAATAAATTATCAGAATAGTCCAATCAGGAATGTATTTGTATGCCATTTTTGTTTGTTGGTTTTGGTTTGGTTTGGGTTTTGGTTTTGTTTTGGTTTTTTTTTTTAATTATGGGCATTCTCATTTTGGGTGGCATATATTGCAGTGGGAATAGGTCTAAAGTATGCTACAGGTTTTGGAAGCTGGAGCTGTTCCTCCATTACAGGTTATTTCACCTGCCATATAAAAAGAAACACAGAATTAGAGGCACAGCCTTAAATTTCCTTCTTAGTCATTGCAGGAGTTTTTAAAAACTTTTATGTCATTCAATGATCAGCATAGGTCATACCTATAGCACCCTATCTACAGCTGTCTGCTGTGCAAAATAATTGTACATGTAAGGCTGTTTGGAAAGAGTATTGTAGATATCCTTGCTTGAATATCAATTACTTATTCAGGAAACAATTCTTCAGAGATTTTCTAAATCAGAGTTAAAACATTTACTTTTGATATTTTAAGTTAACTACTGTGAATTAAACTGAGATAAAACATCTAGACAGTCTAATAGTTTCTAAGCTGTGTCATTTGAGCAATGTCTACACCATTGGCTGCTGAAATCCAGTTTGGAACAAAAGAGCTCAGATACAATATCTGTGGAGTGAAGGCACCCAGTTTTGGCAGATATTTGATCAGACATTTGGGAGAGGCCTGGAGAACCTCATGTTTCTGCCTTTTTGAGAGTCAAAGAAATCCTCAGGCTATCAGAAAAACTTTCAACCAGTGCCCACTACTGCTGATGGTTTTCAGTACTACACAGCCTGGGCCCACAGAAGAAGAAAACCATGTTCAACCAAAATAAATTGCTACTGGGTACTGCTACTACTGCTTGCTTCTAGGTAGAACCTAATCTGGGCTAGAAATGGGAGGTTATTTTTTAAATATTCTCCTAGGACTTTAGGGCTTAGTTTTAACTTTTCTTGGCTTCTGCTTCATGACCTGTGGGACAGCAGATCAGCAAAATGGATGTTAACCTGCTGTTTCCCAGGGACAGCACATGACATTGTGCTGTCTCCAGCTGCATGGAAATTCATGCTGAATGTATTCTCACTGGTTTCTCAGATAATAGTGCTTGGGTTTGTAAGCTGGTGGCCTTTTTGACAGCCTGTCACAGTGTCAGTTTTGAAGGCAAGGTATTTTCAGCCTTGCTAGTGGAGCCAAATGTATGAAATTTTTTCTGGCCATCTTACTCTGCTGTGTCGGCAAAGCTCACTGCAATCTGTGAGAGTATTCATAAGCATGTTTTTGAGTAAGGAATGAAAAGCTAATTACTTTTTCTGACCTCTCTTTGCAGCCATTCTCTCTTCCTCTTTTTTCTTTTCTTCCTCTAGAGCTTTCATTTTTGCATCATACTCATCAGCACGGGTCTTCCACTCATTTCTGTTGTTCAGCAGCCCATCAAGCATAGGCTGTATTTCCTCATGGAAACGGGAAAATTCCTAATCAAAACACACCTCTCAGTACAATGCAGTGCAGAGGAAATGCTTGTCCATCATACCCTGGGATAAAGCCTGACACCTCACATCCAAAGCTGATGCTTCGCAGAAAGCATCAATGGCAGAAAGAGGCACCATGTTTCAGTGTTCCAGAAAAGGGCAGATTTTCATCTGTCTACCTGTCCTTCTTCCCAGGAATGGTACTGCTGCACCAGAACACAGTGAGCTGGGATTTGAACCCGTGTTGATAAGGGTGGGGTGTGTAAGGGTGCACTTTGCTTACCTTATAGACAAATGTGCACACAAAGTCAATGAAACCCACTTGAAGCTTTGGAAGCTCAGCAGCTTTCCTTCGGTCCATCATGGGCTGTGGGAGGACACAAATTCACCATGATTTATGAGAACATTTAATTGAAAAACACACCTCTGTTTTGTCCCCAGAATTGCCTTGTTGAGTCAGTCTGGCAGATCTGTTTGCAGTCCTAAAGACTCTCCCTCACAGTCCTCTTCCTTAGCTGCAGAGGAGTGAAGCGGGCAGATTTCCATTGCTATTTTAGCAGAAATTTTAGGCAGCATTTGAAGTGTCTGTGGATGGGGAGGAGAACAGGTTTTTCCCCTGTGCCTCTCAAACAGATAACAGAAAATGTTCATGTGGTGAAGTGTTGAAGAGGTTTTGCATTGTCTAAAACATGACTGAACAAGAAATTATATTCTTACAAGATCTTGTTAATTACTATATAATTTGTGATGCCACTGTGGGTAGAGGGAGTGCGTGAAAGCCTACTTTAAAAATCCCCAAAGCACAGAGGTGGAGGCCACTTTAAGGAATGACTCCTGGCTCTTTCAATGTCAAATTCATGTAGTAAAAGAAATGTTAGAAATGCCCTTCCATTTACTAATAATTCCTTGACTCTATGAAATCTGTGTTTGCAGTTTTTTTCTTTTCTAGAATCTCTCCTTTCTTTTGTGACTTATCTAGCTATTTTTTCATTTTTCTGTAAGGGACCTGCACAAAATCTCCAGAGGGAATCATCCCTTGAGGGTTCACAGCCACTGTACCCATCTAATTATATAGACAGCTGAACAAGAGGCACTTTTCACTGTCAGAGATATTCTTCACTATCTCAGAATACACTTTTCTGAAGGATTTCAGCCAGCACTGTGATTTCAGGCAGACAAAGAGCACTCAGAGCAGCACTGCTTGTATTAAGTCTCTGCTGAGACTTCTTCTCTGAGCTGAACCGCCAGTTCTTGCATGGTACTTACAATGGGCTGTTGCTGAAGGACGCTTATTTCCAAATCTCCTTGCTCCCAGAACTCAGCTGCAACCAGTAGAGCTACCTACATTGACACAGAGGGAAAAAAAGTTAGCATCAACTTCAGCCCCATAACTTGATGCGCTTCATGTCTCCATTCTGAAGCAAATCTCACTTCTTATCCCTCTGTTTCTTCTTGTCCAGTCATAGCCTCACTCTTTCTGCCCAGGAAGGGCAGCTGTGGCAATAGGCTTGCACCTGTCTAGTGACAGCTCAAAAGTCGCATTGCACTGGATCTCACTGGGTCACTGATCATCTAATGAGAAACATTTCCAATGCACTCCCCTTGAGGATTTGCCTACTGCTTAAAATTAATTTTTTTTTTTTTTCTGCTGGTCTTTCTTCGTGCTGAACAGGAAGGTAGGTTTTATTTCTTTTACCCTCCTTTTAATTTCAGTGTTTATTATTTAGCAATTGCTCAAGTACAGTTCAGGAATGAACTCCTAAAGGAAATCAAACAGCTGAGCAAACTGCAGGTAGGTAATTCTAAAATAAAGCCAGTGCATATGTAACGTGTAAAAAAACCTCACTGTGACCCAAAAAATCTATGTAACTGGAAGGTTTGTTTTGGTTTTTGTTGTTTTTTGGTTTTTTTTGTAAACATGAATTTTGTACAGAACACAAAACCACAAGCTGAAAGATTGGTTAACACATTAAAACCACAGCTATTCCTTTTGGTAATTTTGGTAGGAGACTTTGATTTAGCTTCTAGGCAGCTTAGAAATTGCATTACTTTGAGGTATAAGCTATAGAAATCCACCAGGATGTCAAGCACCTGACCTTACTCTGGACTTCCCAAGGCTTTGTGATAGCTGACAAGTCACAGGCAGTCATCATCATGGCCCTAAAAACAGGAAAGAAGGAAAGAAGATAATTTATTCCCTATTTTTATAGACTCAGGACCCTCATACCCCAGTACTCTATAAGGTATCCCCTGGCCCCTTCTGAATTGATAGATGTGTTGCTGTAACAGCCTTGGTTCTGACTGGGACACTCATCATAGGCTGCTCTCTTGATTAAAATGGAATTATTATGGGGAACTACTTGGTTCTGGTACTAAGACATTAAGATGTTTGCTGCTTTACTGGGCTGAACAAAGCATATCCTGGAGCTCTCACCAGGTGTCCACATCACTAACCTTTCCCCAGAGCCAATTACTCACATGACAACCTCCTTCTTTGTTGTCTCCAGAGACAGATACTCAGTCCAGGCAGTCACGCTGTCGTATGTCTTAGACTCATCAACGATCTTTTGAAACATTGTTCTCTTTCTTTTTTTTTTTTTTTTTTTTTTTTTTTTGGGGGGGCGTGGGGAGAGGGGGGCAGGGTGGAAGGTTAAAAAAAAAAAATTAAAAAAAGAAAAAATATATGAAGCAAGGAAACAAACATGCCAAAACAGGTGGCTCCTTCTGGTATTGGTAACTCTGCTAGAAGTGCTCCCAGCAGTTGCTGTCCTGACACAAAACCAAGCACCATCATCTACTCCCTTGACTATTGCAAAAGCCTTAGAAATTAGTATAGTATATTAGAGATATGATCAGGTCCTTGGAGGTACAAGATACTGCAAGTTATGTCAGTGAGAAATGGTTCCACCTTTGTTGGCACTAAAAGAAGTCTTTTTCTTTAAATGTTAAGCAAACTGCAGAAACCTAGAGCTAGCTGGAGTATTTTTAAAGCTCCCTGGCTTTATATACTTAGTCTGGAACTGCTAACCTTGATTAAATCATCAAAATATATACAGGTAATTCTGATGAATGGTTTATACACCATACACCCTTGTCTGGAGGGGCAGGAGAGCTGGAGAAATCTGAGGTTTCCATATTAGCAGAGAAAAGAGTTAGGCCATATCACAAAGTGACTTGTGCATGTGTTCTATCATCAATAATCCTGTGTCTTAGTTTAGCCAAGTCTTTGCTTGTGGTTCATGGATGAAGGAGGGCAAGGACCAGCTTGTTTTCAACTGGTGAGACAGTGGTGGTATATAGATAGATAGTGCCATATAGATATTGTATCTCCAGAGAAAGTGTTCTGGGGATTCCAACCTCCCTCAAATTCCTTTTTTTGGACTGTTTAAACTGTGTGTAATTATACTGCAGTGCAAAACACAGAAGCAGTCTCTGGGCTTGACACAGCATTTTGAAAGCACATTTTGAAAGCTCCTTGCTCATTAGGAGCACTCTGAGTTTCAGCCTTGTGACCCAGAAAATTAGCAGGCACTGCTCTGAGATTTTGATTTTTTGGCCCTTGGGTGTAAAATAGACTATGAGCTGGACATTCACCTACAATGAGCTACTTGTTACTTGTCTCATTCTGCTCTCACAGAGAAGTCAGTATAATCCTGGCAAGTCCATTTGCCATTTACGGGTATTTTCAGAGCTGCAATGCTAGGTAAAAACAAACAAACAAAAAAATCCTGACATTTCTTCCCATAGGGGAATCACATATCCCTGCCTTGTTGGCAATAGAGGATTAAAAAGTCATATATGTGATTTAATTGAGTAGAAGTGAAAAATACTTTAGAATGATTTGAGTTCTCTCACCAGGTCTGAGGTCAGTATTAAAGGCAGCCTCCTAGAGCCAGCATCTGTGATGAGAGCTGCTGCATGGGTGGGGAGCTTCCAGAGCAAAGCATCACATTTGGCCTTTGTACAGTGCCAGCTGCTTTCTGCCTTTCACACACGGTGTACATGACCAACTTACTTGAAGTAGAGTGCCAGGTCTGTTGCTATAATGGCAATTTCCATCAGGTGAATCACATGCTCGTGCTGTCTGCGGTTGAGGTTCTGACATATATTCAGTGACTGAAAGGAAAAGGGCATTGAAAAATCCAAGCTCTATGTCTATGTTATGACCTCTGGGCCACCTCCCTTTCCCAAATAGCTTCGCTTTTCTTTCCATGGTTCATGTTGCTCCTGTCGGGTGGGAGGGGCATGGGCCGGTTCACCACGTGTTGTGCCATTTCTCCTTTAATGAACGGGGGAAGGTTGTTACAGAGTGTCTAAACAAACCCTGTCCCCTGGCTCCACCGCAAATTTGCCAGGAATTAAGAGTTGGCTGTGGGAATGTGTCAGCCTTGGCCCTGTCAGAGGGGGTACAGGAGAACAGCCCTGCATTTAACACATTCGTATGGATATGGATAATCATGAGGCTTCTGAAGAAACCAAGACATGCACTTAGGAAGTCTGTGTGCTTTGGTCCTGCGTGAGCATAGAGCCCTTTGGAAATGAGGCAGCTGCAGTTTCTTGGCATCCAAGACAGAGAAAAGCCTTGTGCTGACAATTCTGTTGTACTGAAAAACTTCCCTAAAAGGAAATTATTCATGTCCTTACACTACAGTTCATTACCAACCTCCTCAGAGAGCAAGAATTTTCCGAATTCCAAGTGATGTCTCTCTAAAATAGAGGATCCATGAAGTTTAGCTAAAGGATTTTGAGATCTGTTTGTATAAAGGAAAAATTGAAGACATTAGTGCAGCACTTAGAAATGAAAAGTGTCTAATTTAGTATTTAATTTCTGTCATACACATTAAGTTCAATTCTTTTTAAAAGGCTTATGAGTAGAACTTTTTAATAGGTAATGACTTCAGTCTGATAGAAAACTGTAATGACATTGCTTATAACTCTTTGGACACTGTGTAAATCTTCCAGCTACAGACTTCACTCCAAATTTGTTTATGACTGGAATATAATTACTCAGCTTAGTAAATTTGTTTAATTCCTGAATAACTACATGTTTATATCTGATAATAGGAACAGAAAAACCTGCAATCCTTGGACACCTTTGAAAAGCAAGGACACCTGCAATCCTTGGACACCTCTTGAACAGCAAGGACACCTGCAATTGTTGGACACCTTGCTGAAAAGGTGTCAAAAACACAAACCAGCTTCACTTAACATTTTTCCAAAGCTTCAGGAAATATAAGGCAATATAGCCAGCAAGCATTGCAGAAGAGCTGTGGTCTGACTACTTGAAGTGAGCAACAGAGCCTTGACTAGGTAATGAAATTATGCAATTGTTTATCTGTAGCTAATGACTACCTACTGAGAGCAATATTCTTTGTTTCTCAGTAGGTGTTTTGTTTCTGTAGGTAGTGAGAGAAATGCCAAGCATGGTGCTTCCTCCATAGATACAGAAAAAAATTTGTCACCTTATGTCCAGAATGCTTCTGTTGGCATCCTAAGTCTCCTGTAATGCTCAGGACACTGAGTGCCTGCTCTGCACCTGTTCTACACTGTAATGGTGATGTAGAGTTCTGCTTTAACCAAGGGAGGTTTTCTAGGAGGTAAAGAAAGACCCAGAGAGCACTGCAAATTTTCCCCGCTGGCCAAAGCATAAGCTCAAACACTGCAGCAAGCTGAAAAGCGTGGTAACTTGTAAAAGAAGGTTGACACCCTTGTGTATTAAACAGAGCTGTACTGGAGTTTGGTGTGATTCCAGCCTGATTCCACTCCAAGCAGAAGCAACAGAAAATAATTTGAAGTGGTAAGAAAATGCTTACTTCATTTGGTAGAGATTGTTGGTTCCCCTATGGTCAATATCATGGCACAGAGCAGCAGTTACCATTGCAAGGGCTTCAAGGTCAGTGTAGTAACGCTTCAGTTTGCCAGTCTGGATGGAAGAGAATTTATATCCATATGTTAACATTTCTGACAGGAAAAGGTACTGAATGGTGACTGCTCTGCGCTGGGGATGCCCTGGGACAGGCCAGAAGAACTGAAAATATTTGTGAACTGAAACACAGTACACAGTTGACTTAGGTTAAAACAGGGAATCAGCTGGTAATAAAATATTTCAGAGCCAGGCAGGCCCATCTGTAGTGTTTATGTGTTTGATGCACACGTGCAGGGTTGGCTGCCCACTGCTATAGAAGCCTTGGCCCTAGGATTCACCCAGGCTGTCATAAGCACCCCTCCCAGTCAATGGACATAAAGTACTCCATGAAAAGGCTCTGCACCTTTCTGGATAATGTGGTTGTCAAGCAGAATCACCTGAAGGATTGTCCAGGGGTGGTAGGCATCTGCTGCCAGGTGTGTGGACAGATGTGTGACAGATGTGTGGAACCATCTTAATTGGTTCCTGGCTGGTCAATCCCTCGTGTAGAGCAGCAGTCTGACACCTGCTGTCCTAGCTGAGGCACCTGTTGCCCTGAGAACCTGTGAGAAATTTACACATGCCATGCTCACACTAGCAATTAGACCTCCACCTGTGTCTGTTCTGGATGGAAATGGAAAGCAAGAGTTTGCTTTCATCCCAGCCAGCTGACTTCAGTCTGGCTCTTACTGTCAGAATCTACTTCAAGAGTGGAAGTCCTGTAGCCTCTCTCCTCTACTCTGCAGAAGGATCTAATCTGAAAGCTATTCACATACACCATACACATCTGTATCTATGAGAATTAGAGCTCTCCATTCATTGGCCAGTATTGACCAAAGCTTCCTTCACATGTGATGCAGTCACTGTCACTTCAGGCAAACGGAGACCTTGCTCAGCAGGACCTGTGCTGCTAGAGGAGTGACAAACCTTGCTCCTACACCATGGTTGGAAGGGAGCCCTGCGTATTTCTCAGGTGTGACAGAAGACCTGCTGTAAAAAAGGTGTGCTGTGGAATTCACCAGGGTGGTGTTACCTTACCATCAGGAGCGTGAACATGGTCTGTGCAACGTTGAAGCCGTGCCGCCAGTTGTGGTAAGTTATCTTCCGGTAGCCTTTGCTGACAGAGTACACAAACCTTACCAGAACCTGCCAGTGGGGAAGAGGATGTTAATGTGGCTGATGAAGCTGCTGCCTTCTCATCTTCCAATAAGGGTCATGTACAGAAATCATGGGGGAGCTTCAAACCAGCTCTACAGATGTGGGCCCAGAAAGGGATCAGAAGTTGTAGTATCACCAGATATTGATAGAGTCTATCAATGCTGATGGAGTAAAGCCTAGTGGAGAGCAAAAGTGGACAATAAAATTTAGCTGGTTTTTCTCCCTCTTTTTTCTTTTTGGGTTTTTTTGGGGGTTTTTTGGGTTTTTTGGGGTTTTTTTGTTTTTTGGTTTTTTTTGGAAGAAAAATAAAATCCCAGATATGCCTCTGGAATAAACAAGAATCAGTACTGCCCAAAGGAAAAACTATTTCATATTACTGTTTGTGAATTTATTGCATTTTTCTGTTTCTCTAGATTGTCTCTTATGAGATTTTTCCCTTTGTCTTGTGATTGATTAATACTGATCACTCCCTTCAAGAGATATGGATCCATAGCTGTAGAGATGAAAGATATTTACATCACCTAAAGAATTACAATATAGGGCATTAAACAGAAAATTGTTTTTTTCTCTCTGCAGTCTACTTTTCCATGTGTACTCCCTCTTGCAGCTATGCAGGTTTTCTCATTAAAGAGCAAATTCATTTCTAAAAATCTCAACTATAAGGATCACCGCTTTTCACACATCTTCCAGGCCTTAGCTGTTCCGGAGTAGATATTTGGAATATTTTTGACACTGACATTCTGCGTGTAAGAAGCACAGAGGTAATTCCCCTTCACTTCTCTCCCGATTGCCACCCTGCCTGCATTCCAGGGTGAGAAAATTCTTCCTGCAGTTACCCCCAGATCCCACTAGATGGAAATGGACCTCACATGATGTGCGGAGAAATGCCTTCGGGAGCAGCAGAGCGGCTGAGATGCCGGGTTCACAATTCCTATCGGGTTTTGGACTGCAGAAGTCGTGAGTTGGCAAGTCAGGGCTTATGGGACCCTTCTTCCCATAGGGTCACACCTTTCCTGTCGACAGGTTGGTGCCAACTGCGCCAAAAGAAGGCACGTCCATGCTTGCATGGAGATGAAAAACCAAAGGGCTTGCCAGAGTGGCTTTCAGCATATCGTGGCTGAAGCTGCAGGGTGCCTACTCTAGCCAAGGAAAAAGGCACACAGGTAGGCACTCCGCATGTCGCTGCTGGGAACTGTTTTAGCACGGCGGCTGTGAGTGGCATTGGGTACAGAATGTGCGAACAACCTTCTGCAGAGTCCACCGCTCACCCCTGGAGACCTCACAGCGAGCCCAGCCTGTGGCAGGCAGCGAGGAGCCGAGGAGAGCAGAAGAGGCTAACTTTATGCTCCAGTCCCACAGGAGAGACTGTTCCCTGCCCTCAGCAGGGTGAGGGGGCTCAGGACCCGCCACCCCCTCCCCGCAAGCCCCCGTGAACCCAGTCCTGTGGCTGCTGTGTGAGCCGTGCTGGGACCTCAGTGCCGGCCGCAGCATGGGTGAGCCTGCCCTACATCCAAGGCAGGAGATACTAGCTTTTGCCAGCTCATACCTCCTGTGGGATCTGGAACTTTTTCACCACGCCAAGCTCGTAGTACATCTGAATGCCACACTTCACCAGCTCCAGCTCAGTGCAGTCAAAATCAGAGAACCTGAACTCATAGATTTCAAACTTAGTGGGTCCCGGGAGTTCTTCTTTCTGTAAGACAGGTGGGCTGGTTTATTGCTGTGCTGCTTACATCATTCCTAAGCTTTGCTAAATAAAAACTTATCAGTCTGATGCTGCTTTTCTTTTTAGTATATAGCACATAAATAGACTAAAATGAAGCTTTTCATAATAAGCCCATTAGTGGAGGAGGAGGGAGGGTAGTTTCGTGCAGGAAATATTGTTTGTTTCCTGTTAAACATTTGATTTGATATAATTTGAAGATTCAAAATGGGGTAAGAGTTACAGCCCTCCTTAGTTACTTTGAAAAATAAAATCCATGACAAGCCAGTGTGGCTGACGTGTTTCCAGATGGACTTTGAACCCCTTAAGATAAAGAGGCAGAGAGGAGGGACTCCCCAGGAGCTGCAGAAGGCACTTGCTGACGCATACTAATGATAATCTCAAAATCACGCAGCAAAGGAGGGCAGGGTATGCTTTGCCTTCACCCTTCACCAGGTAACAGCATGCCAACACTGGGAACTCTTCCCTACATCTATGCAGGCAATATTTGCTTGCCAGGGCTGTTCTTTCCAGCAGTACATTGCTCTTACCAGAATGCTTGCCAGCTCCTCTTCGTCACACTCACTTGGCTCCTTCCCCAGTTTTTCTCGTGTTGGCTGTAAAAAGCACGGGTGTGTTAAGGAGACAACTGAACCCCACTGGACTTTGCAAGGGGCAGCTTTGGGGCAATCTAGGGCAGCTCTCATATGCAAATTGTGCTTCTTTCCTGGACCTTACTTCAATTTCTTATCTTTCAACGAATTTCTCCTGGTAGTGTTCTCCCTCTCTTTGATTTTATTTTGTTTCCCTCACTTGCAAATGTCCCCCTAGAGCCAATGTCACCTCTGGGTCCTCTAACTTCACCTCCTCAGCACTAACCGGGTTTTGAGCAATAAATCAATTTCTGTTCCACTCCTACAGCCTTGCCCTGAGTAGCACCTCCAAGGCTGGCTTTGCTGAGGAAGTTAGAAAGAGCTTAGTGGCGCAGTGTGCCACAGTGGAGGGCAGACCACTGAACCAAAAGAAAGACTCGTTCTGCCCCTGTGCAGTTACTAGGGCTCAGGTGCTGCCACCATGTCATGGTGGCTGGAAGCATCTCTGTGAAGTGGAAGACCTGTGTCTCAGACCCTGCCATGAGTCATGGGCCAGGCCAGTACACCTGGGTGTGAGCTTCACGTTGTGAGGCATTACCAGAATTTCCTGGATTTCATCCTTGTCACATTTCACGTGGTAGAGCACCATGTCCTGAGCAATGTCCTTACGGTTCTCCAACTTGTTCATCTTATCATATGTGTCTGTGTTGAGTACAGACCAACCCAGGAACTGTGTCAAGGACTTGTTAAGGGGAAGAGAAGGAAACAGTGAGATAGCCATGACATGTGTTCCTCAAAGACACAGAAATATGACACTGGATGATACATTTTTAAAGAAAGACAAACTCAACTTTGGCCAAAATTCTAGCAATGAGCAGCCACAGCTTTGCTCCCAGCTGTGACTTGCTCCTCAGCAAAACAGCTCCCCTCCTGTTGAATCTGCCCAGGCCTTGAGACCATCCACGCTGTGGAGGCTGAAGGACCCTCTATCCAGTTCAGGGTACAAAAGACTATTTCTGTGTTGCTGCAGGTGTCTCCATGCCTGTGGAAAGGCCACAATGTGACCTTCTGTCACAATGGTCACAACAGGTCAGGAGCTCTCACATCAAAGGAGAGCAAGGTGGTCTCATCACCTTTCACATGTATTTACTCACATCCTGTGCTTGCTTTCAACTCATTTGCTCTCCAGTGGCCAATTCAAATGGATTTTTTTTCCCTGTGACCTTTTTGTTTGATAAGAAAAATCTATTTCAGGAAATGTCCTGATTGACAGCAGGTGACAAGAGCTGAATACTTACATTTCATGGAAACTAGTATAGGAGCATTTCCTATAAGGAGCAAGGTCTTAAATCACAGCTTGATAGATATAATAGCTGGCCTCCCTTTTTATTTATCCTAGCTACACAGACAATTTCTGTTTAATTTTTCAAGGGACTTGCCCAGCCAGTGAGAGCCAGCTGTCAGGTATGTGAACACAGGTCAGAATGGCAGCGTTGGCACACAGTAGCTGCTCATGGCTAGGTGTACAACCCAAGGACACTGAAAAAGCATCACAAGAACATAGCTGGGTTTCCCATACCAAACTCCCCTAGTATTTCAAACAGTTGCTTTCAAAATTCAAACATTTTCAAGCTCTATAACACCTCTGATGTTTAGCACCACTCTAATCAATGAAGATACCCACTTAAATGCAAAGCACTTGGGATGCTTTGCAAGTGTACACAGAAAAATAGTGATCTCTTCAACTATATGAATTTCTTCCAGCAAGAAACTATACCTCCATGAGGGTTTCATCCTGCTCATCAAATGGTTTCCCATCTTTTCTGTTATAGAATGTGACAACACCAACAATTTCTTCCCTTTTATTCACTATTGGCATGGAGAGAACATTTTTGATAGTCCATCCTGATTCATCTAGAGGACCTTCCTTGAAGCAACAGCAAGCAGAAAGACATCATGTACTTAATATTTTTTCTAAATACATGAGCACTCCAGTGTTACATTCAGACTACAGGCAAAATAAGTATTTATATGCCTAATATTGACTTGACATTACATTTCTGCAAAGAAATAAAGTTGAATCCTTGATAGAATTAGAAATTTTCACAATACCTGAAAGTTAAACATCTCATCTGCAGCAGCATTCATAATGTTGCAAATCTAGGGGATCATACAGAAGAAAAAGGATTACATTATGGGCAACGAGAAGTTTAACTGCCAAAACAAAGGACTGAATTGCTGAGAAGGCAGCACAAGTATTTTTCATCTCAGACAGACTTGAGGAATCCTAGGTTAAGTACTTACAAATCCACTTTCAGCTACATAGGCTGGCAGTCCAGTAACTAGTGCCCAGTGATCCGGGGTAGGATTTCTAACAAAAGAAAGATGGATAAAGGAAATTAAAGGTATATGTTTACTGAAAAAAGATCATGGAGATGAAGTGTGTTCAGCTGATTGTATAATCCAGGTTTAGACCTGGAACCCCCAGTCCATAAATGGTCCTGTTACTTTCAAAGGATCCATATGCACAAGCAAAGAAATTTCCACCTAAGTAAATACTTTCCTTTCAAGTATTTAAAAAAAATTAACTGATAAAATATCAGTTTGTAGTGACTTTGTAAAGAGTCACTCCTGGGAGTGAAGGCCATGTTTCAGACCTTCAACGCAGAGAAAGATAAAAGGAGATTCCTGGCTAAGGATGTCTGCCAGCCTGAACTTTGAACACTGCTGTACCCAACAAATGAGGGTCTTTCTTGTGGCACATGACTAATATAAAGCAGTGTTACCAGAACTGGGGGAAACCTCACTTATGCCAGATTTGCCTAAGCTGCCCAAGGCTCCTCTGAAAAATTCAGTGGCAAGAAGAGAGGGCAGTTCTTAGAAAGAGGGAGCCCCAATGTGTCAGGAGGGGAGAACAGGCCAGAGGTAGCCTTAAGATGGGGTAAGTGATAGAAGGATTGGAGAGAAGCAAGGAAACCTCAGCACAAGGGCATCCTGGATGAGGCTCAGCCACTGACACAGGGAAGGCATGGAGGAGAATGATGCCTCTGCCTGGCAAGGAGAGCAGAAAACTGCAGGCAATCAAGGCAGCTCACTTGGGCATCTAAAAAGATTCATTGGTTGAAGTGAATTTTGGAGCCTGCCTTCCAAGTTAGGATCCCAGGGCCCTTGAGGCAATGTTTATCCTGCAGAAATGAGAGTTGAATTACCAACTTACATTCTGACTCTTGATCCTCTGTCAGACCTTTACATTTCTCCACGTGGGTGTCTTTAAAACGTGGGGAACCTTGTTTTTAGCTACACCCTGTGTCAGTACCTAGCATTCAGGGACTTGGCACTTACGGGATGACTTTAATGTCTTCTTTTCCATGTAATATATAATCAATGACCTTGTAAAAGACTATTTCCTGCAAGTAAAAAAAAAGAGTGGTGTTAAAATGAGTGGTGAGGCAATCCATCCAGAGAGGAGAGAGTTAAAGAAATCTTGTTTTCACATACCCTGCCATCCGGGGTTCGAGGTCCTGAGTAGGGAGGTACTTCTCCCAACAGGACTGGCCACAGGTCAAAAAATTCCTGGTTTAAAAATTAAAAAAGCATTTTTAGAGTAGAAAAGTTCATTCTGTCTCAAGCCGCAAAGTAACCATTGCTCTACCTTGCTGGTTTTGGTGTTGTGTAAACAAGGCACGAAATAATAAAACTAATTCAATACTAGGCAGCAGAATGATACCCAAATATCCACATCTGGAAGTGTCAGGTGCATTTATATGGCTGCTTACTACCATATACTGCCTATACACAGAGCACTGATTCATTCAGTGAACAGTGAGCACTGGCTGTACCCAGAGCAAACAGTTATGACAATGTTTTTGTGTTCTTCATTTTCCAAAGTGTGACTATTGCCTGACCTATTACTTGCCAGACTGAAGAAGTGAAATTCTTTTTTTGCTTTTTTTTCTTATGCTACATTGTAATGTTGATCAAAGTGTCTTTAGCTTACACTAATGATCCTTTAATACACCTCTTCACAAGGCAATATGCTACAAGAGCTCTGTCAACAAGACAGTCAGCCTGACCACGGGACAAAGAGGGCAAAGACTGGCAATGATGCTGGGTAACCTTCACATAAAGTTTGCCAAAGGTGTAAACCAGCAGCACAAATCAGAGGTAACTTTGATTCTGTCAGCTTGTTTCCATGAAGCCAAATTTCATCTAAAAACCTGGATATTGTCAGCATGAATGAGTCCTTGAGGAAGGTGGTTGGTTTGCTGATGGCTCTACAGGTGTCTCACTATGCTTCCAATAACCACAGGCTTTGTGAGGTTTTGTTTGTCTGCAGGCTTTGACCAGGATTGCCAAAGTCAGACTCATCTTCCCCTCCTCTGTCTTCCCAGCATCTGACAGTCCCATTCCAGTGATAAGCTCTTCCCTTTTCCTCTGATTTCATTAACCTTAATCTTTGCACAGTAAAAATATGCTAACCAAAGCAGGAATAGTGGCTCAAAGTTAGCTCACACTTTTACCACCTCAGTAACTCTTACCTGCATGCATCACCCCTCAGTGGGTAACAGCAATCAGAAAGATGCACAGCACGCATGTGAACACTCACCTTCTGCTTTGTCATGTCCAGGAGGCCGACCGAGTATCGGTCACAGTTCAGGTATGCCCTCACTGTATAAAAAGCCTTGTGGAACTGCCTCTCAATGTCCGTCAGCTCCTCAAAAACCTTATTAGCTGACCACAGCAGCACCTGCAGGATAAAATCAAAACCTAAGCACAGCCTTTCTCAGAGAGATGGGCTTCCCAAATGTTGGTTACAGTTCCTGAAAAGTGCAGGAAACCTATACCACTTGTTCACACTGGGAATTACTAGGGAGAAAGAGTCAGGCCATCATAGTGTTATGTAGGAGTCAAATGTTACCAATACAGCACAAAAAAATGTAGTAGTGTCAGGCATAAAGCTCACCCCACTTGAATTTTATACCCATCAGTAAAATGTTGCATCCAAAACCAGTTAACTCCAAAAGCATTGCAAGTTCCAGAGGTTGGTGTTTGAAACTTTCTCAAAGTGTTTGAGCAGCTGGTTTTTGTATGTCCATCAGCCTATGATCCGTTTCCCCATCTTCTGGTACAGTCTACTGATGTAGCTTTAAGAAAGCTGTTGCTATTAGGCTTTTTCACTTGTAAAAGCAGATGTTACTCAAATACTTCTCTGAAATGGTAAGAAAATCATCTACACTCTTGCTTGGCTTCGTTAATGTATGTGTGCCTGTATCCAAGGTGTGTCTCTGGCTTTCTGAGCCCAGGAGATATGAGGAGCCGTGCTTCTGAAGGACTGAGAGCTGCCACCTGAAGCAGACTGGACCTGTACTTTGAACAAGAAGTACTGTTACATGGCCACAGCCAGAAAAAGTGTGCCTCACCTCTTCACTGGGCACTAGTAGATATTTTTGAGCATAGTAGTATGTAGTAGTAGATGTTTCTGAGCTGCACTGGTCTCTGTTTCTAATCCATAAACTGAAACAACTCTGCCACTTGTATGAAGTCTGAGTTCAGCATCAGCACCCCTCAAATAGGACAGTGGTGTTGTCATACAAACCATTAGATGAAAATGAGCAGCAGTCTAGCTTTTTGGCACTTTACAGCATGCAATGAGTACTGATAGCCACAAGCCTGGTGAGGACTGAGAGTAATACCTGAAAAATATCTAAGTCAAGGAATGATGTAAAGAAGTTGGTAAAAATGTATTGTATGGTCTTCTAATAAGACTTTTACACAGTATCTGAGCACAAGCAGATTACCCTGGTTTTGCACAAGCCATTTTACCCACAGTATCACCAAGTCTTTGCTGTTGGGATTTGGAAGATTAAAATTCTAGACCACTTTTGAGAATGTAATTTGCTCACTCTGTACTTCATTACTTTAAATTCTAACACAATGAACTGTAATAACTTTCACACAGCCCCTAAGACCTATATTAGAGGTTTGACAATTGAGCCATTGGGAGACCTAGAGCAGTGTGTCCTGCATCTCGTTCTTGCTTCCCTCCCTTTGTGTGGGACCTGCTCAGACAGCAGTGATACATGAACAAGGGCTCCTGGGTTCAGTCCCACACTAGATCCATTAGGCCCTCCACCTTACGGCTCTCCACTTTGTCCTCTAGCCCCTTTCTTACCCTGACTAGTCCTGCTGCTAAGCTCCCAACAGGAATAAACCTTTGCTGGTTCCACTTCAGTCAACTATGTAGCATTGCTGGTGTCTGTATCATTGGACCATCATTCATGTTTTTGATGAACAAAAAAAATTAGGCAAAGCATAAGAAATTAATTAGAAAGTATAAGTGCTGTTCCAAAGCTTCAAAACAAACGTTCATTCTGTGTCCATTTTGCTAACATAGGTATTTATTCTCCATGGCAGGCCCACTGGAGAACAGAGCGTGGCTGCCACGAAGCGCAGATGCAATTCCATGTCCTCTTGAGTGACAACTATTGCCTGCTGCACAAAGTGGTTGCAGGGATCCACATCCATCCCAATAAATCTGAGAGTCCTACTATAACCCATCTAATGGAAAAGAATGGTGCCTGAATTTCAATCCAGAATATCCTAAACCCCTAATATAGGTTCTTTTCTACTGATAGAGGCCAATACAACATGCATATGACAATTTTACTGGCTCTAAGAGGAAATTCAATAGCACTTTTTAATGAGCATATAGGGGAAAAATATCACATTATTAAGTGTTTCAGAAAATCTCTTGGTGCTGCTGTCTGAAATGATTAAATGATCCAAGAGTGCTTCACAGCCTCAAGTCAACAAAGCATCTAGAGGTCAATCCTGCTGAAACTGGTGCCATTGCATCAGGTCCTGCAGTTTTGCCAATAACATAAGAAAGAGGGAATGATGAAGGACTCTGGGAAAGAAGCAACATCTGAAAGCAGTTGAGGGCATCTTTCTTTCTGCTCTTCAGTAACAAATCTCTGAAGACCAGATTCACCCTTTAAATCAGAAGATTGTATTGATTTTATTTTGAGATAGCCAATCTGCATTTTCGCTCTTACCTGGCCTCTTCGAGTCTCACAGTTGTGAAGATAACTCAAGTGATATATTTTCAAGTTCAAAGATGCAAAATTCAGATACTTCAGAAAAAGCTGAAAAGGCAAATTGTGAGATTCCATTGAATGCAGTAGCAGCTTCAGGTGTATGGTATTTCATAACACTGCTTTTAAAGCGTCCAGGTAATTTCCCAGGATAAATGCTTTGCTTTGCACTGCCATGACATGAGGCTTATCCCACTGTATCTTCCCTGAAAGATCTAAGATAAGCATCCTCATTGTAAGCCTCTTCTATGAGAGTGTGAGTGCTCTTTAGGGAAACTCACACCGGTGGGGCTTCACTAAAGCAGGCATCACTAGCCTAAAGGGATCTCTATTAAAAAAACAAAAGTAGCAGCAGCTCTTTGACAGGAGTTCAGCTATTGACCACTTACTGTTTCATCAGAGCTGGTGAAGTGTGGGCCATTCAGCTTATTTATAGCCACAATGACAGCAACCAAGTCTTTGCCATTCAAGATGGGTGTCGCAAGGATGTTTTTTGTAGTGTAGTTGGTGAGCTCATCAACAAATGGGCTGAACTGGGCACACTGTTTAATAGAGAATTTACAAATTAGCATTTTTCACAACTTGTCTTGAAACCAAGTCCAAGTACAGCCCCTTCATGTAAGCTGCCTGAAGAAAGTTTTGCTTAAAAATTAGTGGGGAAAAGAAATGAGTTAGCAGAGAATTGGACCACGCACAGGTGATAAATCTAATATCAAGAGCAGGTGTGGCTTTTGACTGCAACATGTGAGTGTTTAACTTTCTGTGAAGATCTTGCCAATCATAACCTTTAATATGTCAAACTCACTTAGAACAAGGGGGCTCTCCATGGGTTATTCTCAGATCAATGGCATTCTTCATGGGACCTCCTCCATCCCTTCCTCTGACTTCTTGTTCACACTGAAGAGCGGGTAGAGCCACAGGGTATAAACCAGGGCAGTCAGTGGCAAGTTCACCCACCCTCATTTTTCTTCTGCTTTTACCATGAAGCTTGTTGTCAGCTTGCAGCATCTACGCTTAGTTTCTCTTGAAAAGCAGAGAAAGGAAAATCCAGGGAAAGCAGGTGGCTAATCACTTCCCCTGCACAGGGGTCATATTGGTACTATCATCACCTGCCACCAGGAGTGCAGGGATGGTCTTGCTGACCAAAGATATTGTCCCTGCTCAGGTGAATAAATTGCCATCTGTAAGTCGATCTGTTTGGGTTAGAAAAAGCAGCACAACTATGATCATATTCAGAAGTTTGCATTAGAAAGAATGATCTCTCCCTAATGAATCTTCTCCCCACAGCTTCCCCACTGCTGTCTCTTTCTGCCAAATGAGGTAGACCAAACATTTAGTCCCTGGGTTTTCTTTAAAGAAATTGTACTATGGCAATATCTAAAACCACTAGAGTTGAACTGCAGCACTTAGCTTACAGATCTGAAATCGCCCCGTGTATATGGAGAAACACCAGAAACCAAAAAACTTTAAAATTTAAGTCATATTCTGATGTTTCTCCCAAAACCAACAATACCCCCAGAAAAAAACCCCAAAAACCCAGGCTGCAGAACTAAAACAGTGTCTCAGTATGTTCTGTGGAAGACAAGGAAGGTTTTGCTGGAGGGTTGGGATATGCCAGTGCTGAGCAACAAATGAATGAATGAATAAACAGATGGTCTCTTTGTAACTAGCAAACAATAGATGGAGTAATCCCAAATGCCATATTTGGGTCACATGGATTTTGGTTTTATACCTATGATTAGAACAAGCAGATTGTTATTCCCACCATCCAGGTTTACATGATTGAACCAGAAGTATGGGGGGCAAATACTGCCATGAAGGCATAAACATAAAACATTAAAATCGCTCTGATACTGCAGCTGAAGTTTTTGCTGGGTTTTTTTGTAAGATTTTTAATATTTTGTAAGATTTTAAGTAAGACTGTCTCTTGCTGCTTCTGAGGAATATCGCCCACACACAGGTTACCTGTAATGCTCTGGGGTCCCCCCTCTGAACCTTTATCACAGAAAACATTTTCAAAGTTCTGTGTTGGAAAAACCTCTTTGAACTCACTGTAAAGAATATCTATGTCTTTGCCATTTACTCATAGAATATAAAATTGAGTGGAAAATTCCATGTGCACTCAGTGCAGATCTGACTACTTCACTCTCTTCTGCCAGATTAGACGTGATTTATTGTTGTTTTTTTTTTAGTTAGACAGGCAGTGCACTGTTCGCAGGTATTAAGACCTAGTGTAATCAATGTGCTTAGTTTCACCTCACCCCATAAATGAAATTGAAAGGAACTTTCAGACTTGCTACTTGTTTCCAGTAGACAGCTACTACGCCGCAGGAGCTTTGACCAAGCACTGTGGTGTGCTGCTGCCTCTTGACCCCAGCGAGCCTCTCCTCTACCCAGATAATCGATAAGTGGAAAACATACCTCACGGACATCCTTGATGTTCATGGTTTTCTTGGTCTGAGCAACATGGCCCACAATGCCTATGTCCAGTGGATAGACAATCTCGCAGTCTGGGGAGACCAGGCATTCCTCCAGGGTACTTCCTTCTTGGATGTTGAAAAGCCTTGTCGCCAGCTCAGGAGTGCCATTTCTCTGCCTGTACATGAAGAGACTGCAGCGGTCAGCATGAATAAGGGACCTGATTCTTCTCAAGGTCTTGAAAACAACTTTCTCCATGTTGATGCTTTCTTGCATGTCTTGGATCAATTCAAACAGTATTTCACTCTCATTGTTATCCCAGGACTCTGCTTTTAGTTTCTTCTCAAAATACTGCTTGGCAAAAGCAGGGTTGCCATCAAGAAACTTCTCCACATCGTCTTCACTAATGCTCATTGTGAATGCCCTGGATCTTGTGGGTAAGTAGTAGTCCAAAGATGTGCGAGCAGCACTCTAATTTCTCATGAGTCTCTTAAATTTTTGTAATAGAAGATTCTGCTTCTGGATTAACCAAGTTTGAGGTACCCCTGCAAAGAAGGGCTTGTCATCAGGAAGATGTATTCCTTTATAATGCTGAAGGTGAGTCTGTAGGAGGACAGATCTTCTCAACCAAAGAGATTAGATGACCTCTACAAGAGCTTTGGGTCAACTTTCCTCTTCTTAATCTAACTGCAAACAAAAACTGAGTACTCACAATGTCTGAAAACGCTCTCCTTTCTCTTGATAAACAGAACTGAAACAATTCTATTGAGGCAGCAGCAACAGGGAAGGAGTGCATCTCCTAACATTGAAATAAGCTCTTTAAAGTCTAATTAAATATATACTGCTTGGGCCTAATCCTTGGCTAACAAGGTGACCATCTTATTATTTCTGCTCTCCCAGCTCCCAGCACTAGCAGAAGTGCATTATTCGCAAAAGGACTCGGTGGCCAAAACAAAAATAGTGAGGTAAAACTGCTCTTTTAGGTCTCTCTCTACTACTACATGGGTCTATAGCAGCTCTGCTAAGAGCTGTTCTCTAAGGGAACCACCAATCCTGGATGTTTTAGTTCAGGGTTTGAACTGAACCGGCAAAGTCCATGGTCTTTGTTTCTTGCTAGGAAGAGCCACGACAGGAAAACATGCCTCTTAGTGGCACCCATATAGGAAGGAATCTGGAGAGCTTCTGTTTGGAACTGCTGAATTGATGCACTCTGAGGAAATGTGGGAAGCCCTGCAGACAAAATCAAAAACACGCACCAAACAAAACCCAAACAAACCGGGAAGGTAGAATTATTTCCCTCATCACTATCAGTGGAGAAAAGGGGAGAAATATGTTTCTCACTGCTGTGAGAAACAGGAGTTGTATCACATCAATGAAGCCACAACACTGCAAAACAGCAGGTTTGGGTCAGTGTGATGCTGGGAGGCAAAGTGCTTCAGAGGCCATTACACTTCAGAGGAATGAAACAATGCACAGGAGATTTCATTACTGGAGAACAAGGGTGAACCCCATCTACCACATTGCTGGAAAATAAGCAAGGCTCACCTCCTCAAGGAGTAAGGGTCTAAGGGTCCAGGTTACCTGTGTCTGTGAGTACTGTCACTTCTGCCAGGAGTGGTTCAATCCAGCCCAAAATGTGGATGCCTGTGAGGAATTGTTGTGCTAATATTCAGTCAGGATATTAAAATAGAATTATTGCTCAAGAAGACATGGAAGAGGTGATGCGTGCCACTCTGCCTTCCACAATGATGTTCTAGCAGAGGAACTAGGTCCTTCTCAGCTCTGGCATGGTGGGGTGCTGCTCCAGGCCTCCAGTCTGGGGTGCACAAAGCCTTTTTGTGAGCAACAAACAGGACTGTCCCAGGCACAGGGCTTGGCTGCAGCAGGGAATTTTAATTTTAGGGAATTTAAGGATGGCAGTGGTTCAGGCTGCAGCTTGTTCAGCAAGGTGTCATATGCTGCAGCAGTTTTCTGGGTAAAAAAGGGGGCAGAAAGAGCAAGAGTCAATTTTCTTTTACTTTGAGTAGAGGCAACAGCAAGAATTAGCTGAGAAATGAAGGTAGAAGACAGTTCAGGTGAGTGAGACCATGAAATGAAAATTTCAGTCTGGAGAAAACAGCCTTTTTTGTAGATTATGTGTTCCTGTTGATCTTAAACAAGAGAAAAACAGGCAGAATATGTGTAAGTGTGGTGAAATTATTCAAAATGTGTATAAAAATACCATGAACAAGTAAAAATAGAAAGTCAGAAAACTCAAGATCAAACGTGAGGTTAAATTAAAAACAATGTACAGTACAGTACAGCAATGTACAGCAATTTAAAAGGTAAAATGAAAAGCAATGGAAATTTTCTGTTTATTATGATAATAATAAAGAGTGAAGAGCAAGAATAGCAAGAAAAGTCCTGAAGAAATTAAGTTTAAGAGGGCTGTGTAAAGTAACCTCTAAACCCTTAATGACTTTTTCTGACAGCTAATGGAGGATTTTTTGGGGTTTTGAAAGTCTGGGAAAAAGTAGATGTAATGATCCTTTCAGCAGAATAGAAAAAAGAAAGGACTGAAGAATTCTACAACAGATAATTTTTAAAGTTTGGCTTCTAAGAAAATACAGAAATAAACCTGTTTATGTACCTAACTGGAGGAGAGAAAGAGCAGCCAGTGTGACTTAATCAAGAGCAAACCGCGTAGAGTGGAGTTTCCTCTATGGCAGAGTCAGAAGTCTCTGGACAGAAGGAAAGCAATGACTGTCACAACTCTTGACTGATGAGGAAGTCACACAATAGATATTTTGTGTCTTACATTGAGGGCTTAGACGAGATTGTTAGAAGGTGGTGGCAAATGTTTTTGAAAGCTGAAGAGTTTGTTTTAGTAGCTCACTAATAAAATGTAGGATTTTTTGAGTAGGATTCTCTGTGGAGGCTGCAACAGATGTAGAATATCTCAGTATTTCCACTGATATGTGTAAAAATATTAAGCCAGTGAGTAAGCCATGGTCAGGTGTCTGTAAATGTGTTTGAGCACCATCTTAGAACTAAATGGCAGACATATGTGTTCAGGAGGAGAGGACTAGAATTCACCAAGGAGGCATGGGAAGTCCTACTTACGTGGAGAACAGTCACCTGGTGAATTCATGGGGATGAGTCACTACCTCAGCTTAATGAAGGCTGCACAACGTGTCAAGACTTCCAGGCAGAAGGAGGTGTACACGCATTAGGATGAACTTTCTCTTGCATAACAGATTATGCCACATTGTTCTAAACAGATGTCTCACCTGGAATACTGTGGGAAAATGTGACCTTTGAGGAAAGACTGAGGTTTCTCATGTCTCTTATTGAGTCATCTCTTTAAAACAGTCCCCAGCTGTATAAAAGGCTATGGCTAAGAAAAAAGGAACAGTCTGTTCTCCATAATCATATAGGACAGTAGATTTTAGACCTGCAGATAAAAGTCTTCCAAAGCAGTGGGAAGAGATTTCTCCCACCTTATCTTAGATACCCCTAGAAACAAGGGTGTCATTCTTCTTCCTGGGAAGCATTTCTAGTCAGAAGAGATGCACACATAATGATACCAACCAGCTGGAACTGATAGAGACAAACAACGTCTTAGAACTGGAGGGAAACATATTTCTCTCTGGGCCCAGCCTTCCTGCCCATGGCCTGTCAGGCCAGTTATATGTAAGGAAACCATTGTTGTACACCAGTAAAAACTTCATTTGCAGCTGTGTAAATCTCCCAGTGATTGGAGTGACTTTATTTATGGTTAACACAAAGAAAGCTGGAGACTGCCTTCTGCCTTTCAATGTCTCTGCAACTCCAGCTGCAATCTGGGCCATTCCAGCGCACAGTAAAATACAAGCCTGTTTCATCCCACAGTAACAGCTAGGGAAAAGGATAAAGTAAAACAAACTAAACCTCTTTAAAGGGGACTATCACATTTTGGACTCTGGTATCCCAAAGGAATTAAATTTACTCTCACCAGGTCTTTGAAGGAAGTCTGAAGTGAAGTTTAGCTCTTCTTACAGTCCAGCATACTGTTGCCTGGAAGTTTTTACAATCCATTGGATCCTCCTCATACCAGGTGGAATTTGTGGAAGAGAAAGTCTCCTGGGAGCTCTCAGAAATGTTTAAAAGTCCAAGAATCATATGAGTGATCAAATGTCCAGCAATTATATGAAGTGGATGTCACAGGACAGAGCTATGCACTTAGAGGATGTACTCAGGATGTCCTACATCTGGACAGAAAGTCCTTTGGGCTTGGTAACATGTGATGTTTTCTTGACCAAAAGAAAGGTTTTGTGGGTGCACTAAGAGTTATGAAAATTGTTGTATGTACTTTTTAGCTGTGATTTCAGAGCTGAAAATATGCAAAAGCGCGAATTATTCATATTGAATCAAAATTGGCACTCTTTTGGATCCAAACCTTACAGATATTCATACTTGATTTGGTATGAAAGGTTATGTTCAGTTGAAGATAAATGCTTTTGTTTCAAAACATTCTTAAGAAAGGCTGTGTTCAACGGTGATACTCCAGGCTCCAAATAATGAAATATTTGAGTTCAGTTCCTTCTTCTGCACTAAGGTTTTGAAATTTAGCAAGAATATTTCCTCTTAACAAGGAGGAAGAATGAAGGTCCTAACATACTGATGTTCATGACTGCAGAAGTGGAGAAACTGAGGCGGTATTTCTTGAGGCAAGCCAGGGCCGTGTAATTGCTGTGCAATTGAAACCATGTGGGAAAGGCAGCTGGAAATCTAAATCTGCCTTGCAAATGGAGCCAGCAGAGCCAGAGCAGCCCCTTTGGTGGGCTGATGTACTCAGAATTACAAGCGTGACGCAAAGAGGCATAAGTGCTCCCTCGGCCTTCGGGGATATTCATTGCTGGCATAACAATGGTAACTGAGGTGGATATAGCCTAAGCTTGCAATAGGATAATGTTCTTTGAATGGCCTTAGGCAGACAATGGAGGATTTTGGAGGAGGATGAGGCTGCTATTTTAGGAAACTTGTGCTAGGCTGTCACACAGCATAATAATATGTGAACACGTGTGGTTGCACAAACTTGTTTCCAATAGCTTTAAATTCAAATTGCAGAATTGGCATAAGACCCCTTGTTTATTGCATGTTGGTAGATGCCATTGAAACAGTATTCCAACTGGAAAACTCAAATATTTAAGCTCTCCTGAAGGCTTGGCTGGTAGCTAGGAAAACAAGGTGGAGTTTCTGGGAATAAAATTCCTACCCTCCCAAAAACTCATATGACAGTCGCTCCCTAGTCCTAGCATGAAAACTACTGAAAATTTGTAGACTAAAATCATCTGGCTGATGTGGTGCAAAACATACTGCCCAGGAAAAGCAGTAATTTTAGGGCCATTTATGGGACTGTGTCCAAAGCAGTGGGTACAGACACTGCCTGGAAAGCAGAAAGAGGGATGGTATGTGCTGGGGGTGTTTGGGCTCCTAAGATGCTTCATGCTCCTCCTTCATGGGAACAATGTTTTTCCCCCTAACCAAGAAGCTGTGGGTATGGGAGCTGCAAATATTTAAGCTAATTTGATTAGACATTATCCTTACAGGGTGCTGTATTGACAGCTATACCCAAACCTTTCTGACCCACTCATCTGTTGGCATAACGAGATTGCAGCTTATCTGATTTACTACATAATATTCTCATGCCACCTGCTTGTATACAAGAATAAGCTTTCCTGCCTGCAGCCAGGGGAGCCCAGTGAGGATCAGAGACATGTCTTTCATCCCTCCTGGGCCAGGGTCTTCTTCTGTCCCCCAGAGTCTGGCCTCCT